AATTTCGAAGCCGTCGATTATGATCGCGTTAAAATTCTGTATCACGGAATAGTCTTGGGAAGAGGACACGTTAACCGTGCGAATAGTAAGATTGATTCCGGTTAATGGAAGGAGGAGAAGTTTTCAATGAAAATATGAAAATCGCGTGTAAGAAGACGAGGAGGTTGTACGGTAGCGGTTTTTCTGGAACGTCAGCGAGAACGGGTGATTCGTCATTGTTATTGCTCGCCTTTCCCGTCATTTCTCCGGCTCTTCCTCTTTTCTAGTCAGGCTGCCAGCCAACTGACCACTGTCCCGTGGCAATTAATCTTGCCAAGGGCATGACCGACGTTCGCCACATTCGAAATTCGTAGTGTGTCGCTGGTCGCGTAACCCGTAGGCCGGCACCGAGGGAAAAGGGCGAAAAGAAACCCGACGTCTTCGGATTCACCGTTAAAGTCAGCACGCAGCCGATTCCTCTTGAAAAAATACGCGCAACGCACGGAATAAGAATTTTCTCCAGGAATTTTCGTTTTCGAGATAATTGAATGTGCAGTCGGTTTCATCGTCTGATGCTTTTTCTACAAGTAAATCGACTTGTTTTACTAAACTATTTACAGTTTCTTAATGTCACACGCGTTTTACATAACATGTGGAAAAATTCTATTATGAAAGAAAAACAAAAATGTTGCTAAGCCATTTAGAAGTGCATGAATTTTTATCGGTAACGACTTTTGGTTCTCCAAGTGTTACGTTTAGTTTAGTAGCATCTAATAATGCAATAATAGTTAAATATACTTGAATTTAAATAGTGCCGCCATAATGGTTTGCTAAGCACGCGACTCGAGCGCCATCTGCGCCACTTTCGGCGGGTTTTGACGTGACGCGTACGAAGCAACTCGGAAATTCTTTGGTGTTGTGATCGAAATAACGTAGTTTATCGCGTACTTTCTTTTTCGTCGTTCATCAGTGATAATTTATCTGCTTAGCTATCGTGTGAACCATCGTGATCGTGTCTCGAACGCGCGGTTCGTCGATTATTCTTTGTCGTCAACGGTAAGCATTCTGTCATTTTTACGTTGCATTATTTATTTAGTATTTACGTTGCTAGTTAGATGAAATTCGATGCGATTTTTATAGACAATTATTTCCAATTAACTTTACATCGAAACTCCATAAAAGAGTGTTGCTTCACAGCAAAGACTACGTGCATATTAATTAATGCGATTAGTCGAACATTAACCTCTTCCTCTCGTATCTGATTCTAACCGTAAACTTTTTGCTAGTTTACCAGAAACGTGTTATTAAAAAAGTAGTTTCGTGTAACACGATATTTGAACGTTACACGTTGGAAGAATTTTCCTGGAGATGGAGAAATCTTGTTCGATCGAAATAGGTTCGAGACACCTCGTATTCCATGACCGATGAGAAATAAAAACGAACGATCAATAGAAAGCGGTGCAATTAATGACTGCCGGCATTGTAGTCTCGGTTTCCAGGTGAAATTTGTCCGAGTGAAAAACGGACCGATCATTTATCCGAGCCTGACCGCTCGATTTTCACTGTTCCTCGTGATTCACCCGGAAAATCGCTATTACCTCTCGATTCGAGTTCGTCTTACTAATTGCGCGGATTATTTGAATTCAATCGGTCGAGTTCTGTAGAGAATTGTTTCGAAGAAAATTCGACGAACGCATCTGCTCGTGTATGTTCATTTTAAATAATAATATTAGTTTCAGCGATAGGTCGAATTAAACTGTTTCAATAAATGAGAGCGGAATTAACGAATAGGTTTAAATAATTTTCTAAATTGTTTTCGAATACATGCACAACCGATTTGAAGCATCTTGTTTGAACACGATCTCCCGAGAGTGTTCGCGTCTAAAATACCCGCTAATCGATTCAAGGATCGAGCTAAACAGCGATTTGGAAATTGAGTCCGAGCCAGACGATGAATCATCGTCATTAATACGTGTAACAAACCCGTACGAATGGTACAGGGGAAACAGTAATAATCGTTAAACGCCACGATGTTTTCTTTTGTTTGTAAAATCATCGCATAATAATATTGTGAACCGATAATTACATTTTCATTGTTTGCACGGGAAAAATATTGATATTGATAACCGGATTAAATCTCGGAAGGAAGTCGATTTGCAACAAATTACATTCTCTTGTTCCGGATCGATGAAACGCATTTTATTTGCCATTCATTTGTTTCGAGAACACATGTCATGCGTTGCACCACCGACTGTTGTATCGTACCATATTGCCTACAGATTCCTACAATCTCGATGTATGGTTAATCTCCAAGTTTTGCGGCAATATAACGCGTGTCTACTGTATTTGGAAATCTCGTGTTTAATTCGAAGAGTAAAGGTATCGTTAAGAAGAAAATTAGAATTATAAAGAACGATTTGTATTTTACGAGAAAGGAGAGGAAAGAGAAGAAAAAGTAAAACTCACGATACGGAATAAAAGTCGAGGCTCATTGTTTATGAAAAAGGCAAGGAATCGTAGCGAAGCGGGTTAAGAACGCGCGGTGCAGTGGAAATAAATACGAAATAGATAAACGGCATCGATTTAACGATCGGCTCGCGCGGACTTTATGTGATAACAATCATGAAGTCATTAGCGTTGCCAACAGGTTTCGCATTTTTCCCGGGTTACGCCCGGTAATTGATTGAAACGGAAAGAAAATACCAGGAGCCGTGTCCGTGCCGCTTACTATTAACCGTGTCATTAATCATAAATCTGTAATCGCGATTTGCATCGTAACGAATGATAATTTCAACGCGTTACCGCTTGCGCGTTGAGAACCGCGATTCGTCGTCGAAGAAATTGTAAAAAATTTCGGAATAACATTCGAAGAGATTGCACCGTGATACGCGGATGGAAATAATTGTACGCGAATTATTGGTAAAGAAATAAAATTTGAAAAAGTGAAAAATACCGGGAGATGTAAGGGATAACAGCGTACGTCCAAATTGATCGTAATTTGGAAGGGGAAAATGAAAATTAAATACAGGAACGTAGAATAGTGGGTAATTTTTAACGTCGAGAGTTATATTTAACCGAAGGCCGAGTGCAATTTTTGCGAACGAAGAATACAAAAATGGTGTCTGTTGTTTTTTCGGTGCAACAGGTTGTTCGTGATTGGTCGAGAGCGGAGGAAACGCCGCTGTAAATAACGAAATTGCTCGCATGAAAAAGTAATCTATAGTTGGCTCGAACTGGTCGAGAATTTGTTAATTAAGTATGCAGACACGAACGTTCGAAAGTGATAGAAGTAACGAAGATAGTTTGATTTCTTTTTTTTTCTCCCTACGCTTCTATGACGAGGCGTTTTTTGTGGAACGAATTCAAGGCGATTTTTTTTACGATCGGAGAATTAAACGCTAATTTCGTTAATTGAAGAAATACTGGCACGGTACACGACAGAGGTAAGAGACATCGATAAATTTCGAGATAATCGAAGAATCAAAAAGCCGCGGAGCTGATCAGAATTTCAAAGTTGATTTCATCCTCTTTCGCTATCTTAATCGTCGGCTGTTATTGATTCTCGATTTACTTGAAAGAAGGCCGACCAATTTACGAGATTTCTAGGTGATCACACGTGAAATTTATACTTAACGGTAAGAAATAAAATATCTGACGAGGCATACGTTATCCCGATTCCGCAAGAACCGAAGAATAACGACGCTACTGTACTAATTGTCGTGTTCGTAGTTATCTGCTCTAGATAAATATGTATGAAATTTGTTCTAACATCTCCAAACGTACGTTTCAAGCTATCCGCTTCGATAATATTTGGAAACTACTCAAGATTTACATAAAATTCTATTTCTGGAAAGTATTTCATCTTCGATATCGACTTGGATACTGGTAAATTTCATTAATAATCATTTAGAGATCGTATAGCATCGCAAATTCGAGTTTCGATGCTCGAAGGATCAAGGAGATTAAGGGATAACGAGCGAGGGACAGCCGCTTAAAGTTGGCGAGGGTAGATCGACCGGCAGTTCGCAACCCCTAAGAAACTTTTGGTTACTTTTTCCATCGCCCACCCTCCCGTGTTCAACTTCTCCAAGGAAGTTGGAAACTTTGTTGAAGGAAGACTGCTCTTTTCTTTCGAAAATCGCGAACCACTCGCGAATGCCGTCACTATTCTTGGTTCGAATCCAAAAATAGAGCTGACGCGTTCGTCGTTCGCGGGTCAATAGAGCAATCTATGTTCTAATCAATTGTCCTCGTACGACGATCGATTCGATCGTGCTGATCGATCTTTAGATCCTAGAGTCTCGTTGATGTTTCACAAAAGTTCAAACATTCATAAACCCACATTTTATTCGTTGTTTTATAAACCACGTCGGATCGAACTTTTTTTTTTATAATAATCACCTTGGAAATATAATCGCCGCAAGTTCTGTAGTTAATAGCCCGTGTGTTTAATAAAATTGGTTAAAATATTTGGCATTTTCAAACGAGATTAATTGCGAGAACGATAATCGACAAAGTGCCGATTGAAGTTTACGCGAAAAGTGATACGTTTCCATTATTTTTGCGACTGCGATATTAATTCGTTCGGGAACGAAACGTTAATAATATTTTAGTTAAAGGGCTCGAGAAACTCGTAAACGAGTATTACCGAACGGCGTATATCGCTGTCGATTTATTGCGAGCAGTAAAGATAAAGTTTATAATTTCGGTATTCGGTTGTTTAATGTACGGTGCGGTTCGCTAGAGCGCGATAAAATAAGTAACTTTAAAACATCGTGGCTGTCCGTATTGCGATAAACCATCTTCTCCATTTTCGTTATTTACAATCGATGCATCTCGACGAGTTTAAATCTTTTTAACACACATATTTAACTTGGTGCGATTACATTCCATTATAAAACAATTTATAATTTGAAGTTTCTTTTTGTTAGTACGAAACAACGAAACTGTTTATAACCGTAGATAACTGTTGGATACGGTTTCGTAGAGAAGGAACGTAAAATTGAAATTTTGTTGTTCAGGTTTAGGCCTCGGCCCTCACACGCCCGAAGAAGCAGCCGTCCTGGCGGCCGCAGCGGCAGCGTTACACCACCATCATCAAGGTGGTCCTGGTGGGCCCGCGATGAGGCCACTTAGGCCTCCGTTACCCCCGGGGATGCTACACACGTCACCGCATCCCCTGGCACCTCATCATCCTCTCGCGGGCCCACATCATCCCCTCGTGCCTCCTCATCATCCCGAGGAGGACGGCGTCGTGGACGATCCTAAAGTGACCCTCGAGGGCAAGGAACTCTGGGAAAAATTTCATAAGCTGGGCACGGAAATGGTGATCACTAAAAGTGGCCGGTAAGTGTCAAACTTGCTTAAACGAGTCGTTTCTCGTGTCGTTCCGTCACCGGCGAATTCTTTTCGATCGTAACAAATATCGCAATTAACGCGTTCACCTTATCAACGATGTATCGTGATAGAAGGTTAAATCGTAAAGCGAGAGTCGTGAGAAAAATGACTGGCTACGGGACGAAACACGAGAAGTAGTTGCGAGAAACCGCAGAAAATCGCGTGAATTGGCCCCCTCGTTCGCGAATTCGCGGCGAACGAGAATTTTGGTCCCTCGCGTAGACGACGGACATTCGAGACTCGAGAATTATAGCTTGATTGGAAAACGGAAAATCCAAAAAGTCGAACAACGTCTAGTCTAATCCTGTTCGCGATCTAAAATGCAAATAATCGAGAAAGTTTCCCGTAGAGGTCGATTGAAAACGAGCAGGGAAACTCAAACTCGAGTCAGAGTCTCGTATCACTCGTTGTTTCGAAACATTTTTCGATGCGTTTAAAAATTTATGAATCGTATGGTCGCTGAAAGCTCTGTCTACGCTTTTCCCGATTGCCCGACGATTGAAAATGCTCATAATCCGTAAACACGGCAAACTTGTCGGGAACGTTCTATCCGAGAGGGGGAAAGAGAAGTGCGGGGGTAAAGTAAAGGGGTAGCTAGTACGGAAGAACAGTCGAAACAGAGTTGCGAACGCTAGAACGCGTACACTTCAGGAAACTATAATAGCTGAGGAAAGTACATCGAATAAAAGGGTGAGCATGCATCGTTACATATTTCATATGTGACGCACACAGGTGAGCGTGAAAAAGACGTGTACGCGCATGTGTATCTGGATCGTGGTTCCAGCTGACGACCGACTATACCTTCGTCTGGACTTAATACTCTCTTCTTTTCTTCTAACGTTTACCTTTCGCTTTTGATCTTAATAATCGACGACTGCTTGAAAGTTAAATGAACCTTTAGTCATAATATTCAGCACAGATTTCCGATATCGGGCACCCGTAACGAATTCCAGAGTCGCTAAACGACTCTTGAAAGCATAATCTCTGTCAGTTTGTCACGGGTCCATCTCGAGAGACACACGAGCGATCTCGGACTACGAGCACATACCGTGTAACCGTTGAACGGTCAGCAATTTGTGGCCACGGTGGGCCAATTTCGGGGCTCTGTTCGACACACGAGCGCGAAATCCTTGTCCCCGAGCCCGCACAGCCTCGAGCACAGGGGGAGGTGGGTTTCGCGAGAGGCCCGGGTAATATCTCGTTTAGAAAGATTACAGGTTCGGGAACAGACTGCCAATGTATAAAACAAACATCGTTAAGCTAACCCTATGGTTAGGGCCCCTGGTACGGGGCCCAACATCCCTGGCATTATGCGAGTCTTTCACGATGTACAGTGTGTCTCAAATTCGCTGTAGGCTTTCCGTTGCAAAATTATTCAAGAATTTTTTATTCGCTTCGAGAACGGTAGTTCTCGAGTACGGTAGCGGAAATGACAGTGTAGAGGAAGACAGCCCGAACCATTAGTCGAGTGTTATCGAGCGTTATGCCTAGTTAGCACGAATAATGGACTCTCCTTCCTTTACGTCGACATTTTCCTCGGAAAAGACTAGCTAGAAAATTAGCGGAGACGATCGAGCGATTTAAGCGAAAAAATCGCGACACCTCAGCGGCCATCGTGGCGAGGACTTTTTTTGCGACAGCCTGTAGAGCTCGTTCGCTGTGCAGAGTGCGTGCCGAGTGGCCGGCCACTGGTACAGGTCAGGAACAGGATGAAACAGGAGGTAGAGGGAACGAGAGCGCAGCACCAGAGAGGTGTATTGAGACGTAGACCACCGGACACAGATTGGGCCAGCCACAATTTCCGCGCGTGTAATTATCCGTGATCGTCCCCGCCGTCTTCTCGAGAGCGACCCCTCTTTGAACGGACTTAACTCGATGCTTATTATTTAGCGACGGAGATTGATTTAGAGCGGAGTCGAGCCTCCGCGATTATCGTCCGCTTAGCTCGCGCGCGATACGCCGGAATCGAGTTTCGACCGTTTGCGGAAGATGCGGGATAGAGAAGGTTATTCGGTCGGTTAAATTCGAAACAATTCGCGGAGAATGGAAGAAACGGACAGCCGAGAGAATCAATTAGTCGGCGCACGAATTAAAGCGAACTTTCCGACGATTTGGCGCGGTTAACGGCACACTGTTTGACTTTCTTTTCAGCGGTCTAGCGCTCGGCCCCTTTTATGAGCCTTAATTTCTCTGATTTTTAAATCAAATAAAGAGGCACGAGCCAACAAACCGTAAAGCAACCACGATCACTCGAACCGACAAGATCTTACGTAATCGCGTCGAGGGGATTTCTCTGACCATTTCGCTTGATCCCGCGTTCTCCTTCTTCCTCGAGATTTTTGTTTTCCTGTCGATCCTTGTCCTCTCGGTAATCTGATGATCAGGTTTTGAAATTTCGTTCAATTAGACTGGGACCAGGTGGGGGATTAGACTCATCGTCTGTATCGAAAATGTACTCGTGAAAAATTGTCAACGGGTCATTCTGACCCAATCGTTGCTTCTAGCGTTAATGAAGACGTTTCGTTAGATACCTCCACGCGTGGACAGGTGTCTCGTTCACCCTTCAAAATACCGTTCGTTATCTATCGTGGTTTAGCATAGTAATTTCATGGTTACGTAACGAAAAACGATGTCCTATTCTGTGTGGGGATTAGAGCTGCAGTTAACTATCTCGTCCGATGAAATATGCATGTCCATTTTGACGGTTGAACTTGTACTTATCGTTAATATTGCTTGTCACCGTTATCATTGACGAACGTTACTTGTCGTGTCCACCTTGGCGGCAAACGAGCGTTTCAAAAAGAGCGAAGATAGAGGCGGGTGTCACTTGAAGTGGTCGCGCAACCATCGGTTTCTTCGATTGCAAAATCGTCCTTGGACTTTGCGATCCGAATGTCGTATCGTTCGCGGTGTTAATTCGTATTTGGTCTGGTGGGGAGAACGTAGCTGCACGTACAGGACACTTCAAAATTAATCTATTCTCGGCAAGCGTAAATTCGTTGCGTTGCAACTTCGTATCGGAGCTTATTCAATTTCTAAAATTGCACGATACGATACGAGTAAAGGTTCGTCGAAATCTAGGCGACTGTTTACACGTTGTCGAACGAACTCGACAAGGCCAAGTCTCGTCACGCGTTCGCGTGCGTATCGCGAGCGTGTATGCAAGATCGATGAGATTTAAGTTTTGCATCGAGGGAGAGCTAACGGAATACCTCGTCCTCTGACATCGAAATAATCTAATCGTCGGCAAAGTTGGCGTAATAATTCTATCTGAAACGAGATCGTACACCTGGAATCGCGTGTCCAGCTCCGATCTTGCGCCTCGCCGCGTCTTGTATCGCTGTTCACCGTCGTTCTATTATCACGCCGCCTCCTTCGGCCGAGTCCCCCTTCGTCATTTTTCATTTGGATTTCTAATTAGTGCTGTTTAAGTGCCGACCCTCGTTCATTTATTAGACGCGTACACGGACACTATGATTAGAAACGGAGAACGAGGGAAACGGCTAGACTCCCTCTAAAGGATTTGCCACTAAAGTTCTCGAAATTAGGCAATTTTTTTTCCTGACAAGTGATCTTGCTCTATAAATTATCGTTAGATCTAGCGAGCACGATACACCGAAATTTAAATTTAAAATGTACTCCTCGTTGAATTTGAACGCGAACATTCGGATCAAGAACTTCGATAATAATTTTTAATAAGGTATGCTCCTTTTCACGAAGAACTCGATAGCGTTGGAGCATGTAAATTTTGATTGTTCGGATAATTAATTGTCGTGGCAACAAGTTTCTAAGTAGCTTTTCTTTAGAAAAACTGAAAGATCCGATCCTTGAAAAAATTTGCTGACGATCATCGGTCAAAAAATCCCGCGTTCCTCCCTCCTCTCGTCCGTTTTCTACCACTCTTCTTCACCCTCGGAGGGTCATACCAGTGCATATGCTCGCCCTTCGCCCTGCAGCACCCCTTTACCTGTGGCGTCAGCCCGCAATCGCTGTGTAACCCCCTCTCTCCCCGCCA